TCTTCTCTTCCTGCCTAATTGAGGCCTGTTTATCTCCCCATTGCCAACACAGCACAGAGCCAGGCAAGGGAGTGCTAGTCTCCGGGCTTCCCAGTAGCCTTCTAGATCTCCCCACTACACACTCATTCATGCAGCAAATACTGGGTGTCTTCTCATTTTTAGGTTGTGCTAAGGCAGTCTACCTTATAGACAAATACCCCCTTTAAGAATAATGTGACCCACTTACAGGAATAACCAGAAATTCTTATGACAGTCCTCACAGCTGTGAAGACAATTTGTCCTATCTGAACAGCTGTGCTATAGAGACAGAAGCTGTTTAGGTGACTGTCCATTGCATATCTAAGCTTTGCTTACCTTCCTAGTTGAGATGGCCACTTCTACTACTGGATGCTCCCATTATAATTGAGGTAGCAGGAAGATTCTTAACACAGAAAAATTAAAAAAATAAAGGAAACACATAATCCTAAATTCTCATAGAATTCCACCATCAATTAACGGGATATATGTGGAAGTAAGTGCTATTCTAAAGATCTGTGAATGTCTGTTTTCTCCTTAATGACCTGCCTTCCAGTGAACTTGGCATCTGTACATTTCCCCTTCGTTACTTTACAGCTTATGACGTAAGACTAAGGGCCCCTGTAGAGGAAAAAGATAATGTTTGTGGATTTTTCAGAGCTGCAAGGACGAACAGCCATAGGGAACCTCCATGGTTGGCATCCACACTGTGTCAACCACTCTCTACCCAAGATTTCATCACCTCAAGGTGCTTCTAGCCCAACTTCATGGACCACTTGACCTTCAAAGTCCTCAGTACATGTGCTCTGTCCAGTGCGCATGTCCTATTTCGTGGCCTGTTCTCATCTATATTGTAGCTGCGTAAGATGGGGGACTATTCTTCCACTTCTTTTGTTCACAAAATGAACACGTATTGAATTGAGACCTCTTATTCCACCCTCACCAGAGCATATGGCGTTTTAAGAGCAGACTACACACTTTATTAGTAAAGCGTTACCTATTGAGAAGGCTCCCTTCCAGCTTGCCTAAGGTAAGGCAGCAAAAAACAAGCCCCTGGGAAATGCCTTTTAGGGACAATACACTAAAAGTCGGTAGAGTACTTAATAGCAGCTTGGAACATACACAGACATATAATGTTAAAGGGGGAAGCACAAAGAGGAAAGATTCTAAGTTTTTTTTAATTTATTTATTTATTAAATATTTCTGTCTTTATTCAGTTGATAACCAGCTTTGAAACAGCTGCAGCGTCCTGGTTGGCATGATGTAAGCTCATCTTCACTTCGAAATGCTAGGCACTTCAGAGTTCTGAATATGTGAGCTGTTGCAGGTATTCGCGCGCGTGCGCACACACACACACACACACACACACACACACACACGCACAAGCCACTTTGACCATTGGCAACGTTCTCTTGGCTTCCTCAGGCTTGAGACAAGTGTTTTCACCCACTCTGCCTTTCCCCAGTGCCGTCTCCTCGTACACCCGTAACCATCTGGCATAGGGTGGAACCACGGTTTCGCAGAAGAGCAAGGAGGAGGCAGGATGGAGTACCATCTTCCCTAATTGCTATTCAAAGGAGACAATCAAAAGGATGAAACAAATTAAATTAGCAAAGAAGCAAGAGCATCCCAATGAACTGGCCAAGGTAATCAACTTGGAAAATTAGTTATTAAACCTCCACAATGCTCGTTTTCATAACTTTGTGTGTATGCTTACGAGATGCTACCCATCCCCATTGAGATGGCTGGGACTAAGGAGTTCAGTTCTGGGAGACCAGTCATTCGCAATTGGTCTCGATGAAGTTGGAACTGAGGTATTTTGTGGTGTTTTGTTTTGTTTTAATGTCCTAGTTCATTATCGCTCATTTCGATCTTGGAGCGTTCTGACTGGAGCTAGGAACTATGTGAAGAAGCAAAAAAAAAATGGCTGAGATCTGAGATCCTTTGCTTTAGCCTCATTTCCTGCTGCAGGCCTGAGGGTATAAATTTTTATTATTATGATTATTGTTATGAATCTTCATTCCAAATGCCTGAATTTTCATTCTATGTAGACTATCTTTGACAAATATTTATAAAATTTTAAATAATCTCTTTTCGATTTTATTCATTTATTTATTTGGTTTGTCAAGAAGGGGTTTCTCTGTAGGTTTGGAGCCTGCCCTGGAACTCACTTTTGTCCACCAGGCTGGCTTCAGACTCACAGAGATCTACCTGCCTTTTTTGGTCTAGGGTTTCACTTCCAGTATTTTCTGTGGGTCTGTTTAGGTGGACATGAGTCCTTTTAGCCTGTCTCTATCATGGAAAACTATGGCAGACGGCAGGCTTGGCGGGGTAAAGAAATTCAGATTGGCATCCATGGGTCTTTCAGAACTTGGAGTGCACTCCTCAGGGGTCTTCTGGCTCTTACAGCCTCCACTGAGAAGCATTCCATGACTCTGATGGTTCACCTTTGCATGTGACTTGTGATTTTCTTCTTGCAGTTTTCAACAATTATCCTTTGTTTCTTTGTGTTTTTAATGTTTTAGTCATAATATGCCATGGGGAGTTCCTTTCCGAATCTGTTTGGTGTTCTGCGTGCTTTTTGTATCTGTATAGGTAGGTCTCCACATAATTTAAGGACATTTTCTATGATGCTATTGAAGATCTGGTCCATACTATTGTCCTAGAGTTCTTCTCCTTCATCTGTGCCTGTAGTTCATAGGTTTGGTCTTTTCTTGGTGTCCTAAATTTTCTGCACACACCTTTCATATGTTTTTTTTTTAATTTTTTCATGTTCTTTGCTTGAGTGGTCCAATTCTTCTACTTTAAATTCAAGTTCTGATATTCTGTCTTCTCCTTGATCCATCCTACTTGAAAGACTTTCTCCTGAATTTTCTAACTGAGTTACTAGGTTTTCAATCCAGCTTCATTTCAGTTTGCTTTTTTTCCCCAGTATTTCTATCTCTTGACTGAATTAAGATTTCAGATGCTCCTGAACTGGCCTTTCGCTATACTTGCATTAGTGATTAGCCTCATTGCCATCAAAGAATCTACATCCAGTAACTGATGAAAGCAGACACAGTGATCCACAGTTCAAGCACTGGGCTGAGCTCCTGGAGCTTAGCTGAAGAAAGGGAGGAGGGATCATATGAGTAAGGGGGGGTCAAGATCATGATTGGGAAAACCACAGAGACAGCTGATCCGAGCTAGTGGGAGCTCAGGGACTCTGGACTGATAGCTGGGGATCCTGCATGGGACTGAACTAAACCCTCTGAATGGGAGTGACAGTTATGTAGCTTGGCAGGGGAAGCTGGCAGTGGGACCAGGACTTATCCTGGGTGCATGAACTGGCTTTTTGGAGCCCATTCCTTATGGTGGGATATCTTGCACAGTCTGGATACAGTGGGGAGGGGTTCGATCCTACCTCAACTTGGTATAGCAGACTTGTTGACTCCCCATCTCCTGTAGAGGTGAGTGTTCCAAAGTCTCTCACTCTCTACACGTTGTCCAACCATGAACCCCTAGTTTTGTTCCCACCTGCTCCTTCTCTGTTGACGGCTGAGTGAGGCGATGATCTATGAGAACAGCAGAATGTCATTAGGAGTCATTGGAAGGTAGCTATTATCACTCGAGAAAATGGGCTGCAGAAATTGGAAACTCCTGCTTCTAAACACAGTTTGAGAACGTGTCTGTGCATAACCTGAGCACTTGTCTGTCTACATAGCCAGATTCTCCATTTTGCCCAGCTCAGTTCACCATATAAAACTATAAGCATTCAGATGACAACCTCTCTTCAGGTTGGTTTTCTGTTATTCTAAGCCCTTATATTTCATGTTCTGTGAAAATACAGTTTCAAGAAGCAGTCTGCTCATCAAACTCATGTACCGTAATTGTGTTGAGTATATAATGACTTGCCGTGTTAGCAATGTAAGCCCAAGGTTAATTTAATGTGAGTATTTGAAATTTATTTTTTTTTCCTGGCTCAGTGAATTTAAACATTTCTCCCACTTGATTTTTTCTTCTGTTTTCAGTCAGAGTTTCAACAAATTTATTTACAAGATGAATTTGCCATCCCAGTTTCTAAACAGAAGCTGTTCAGCATGAGTCAGGCTTTCGTATCCCTGGGAATCCTGAGCCCTGCTTACCTCACTGGGAAATGCTAGCTGATGCCGCTATTACAAGTCAGTCAGCTAACCCATGGTTTTGCTTTCACTCTAAAATTAATTTTGAGCAGTTGTGCAAGCCATTTTCTATGAGAGCTTGCAGAGAGGAAAATCAAAGAAAAGCTAAAAAGCAAAACAAAACACTTGCAAATCGAGGTCTAGATAATAAACCAGTCCCATTAAATTAATGTTTTTAATCCAAAAACGATTAGTTTTCCTGTGATTGAGACATGCACAGATGAGCATATTCTGAGTACAGCAGATTATTGTCAGGAACCTAGAATAGCATCGCAGATCAACCCATAACAGTCTCTCAGTAGATCATGAATACTGTTACTTGAAATAGCGTAATTAGTGTATAAAGTTTTTCAGAAGGAAAATTCCCTGAATATTTGTGGAAAATGAAGGCAAAGAACACTACAAATTAAAGTGAAATAAAAGGAGTTTATTTCCAAACCATAACGTAGAATCATCTATTTTGAATGTTGCTAGCAAAGAATGCATTCTTGATTAGGCTTTGTTGACAGGCAAAATGGGGAGTGTATTTCCAGTCCTCAAGTCTCTAAGAGTCTAAAAATCAAAATTTGAGCTACATAAAATAGATTAGCCCAATTTCCCTCCCCATTACCCAAAAAACAATACATAACAGAACAAAACTAAACACATACATGAGAATTCATCATTTCCAAGGTAGTCTCAACACACACACACACACACACACACACACACACACACGGTGGGGGAGAGAGAGGGAGGGAAAGAAAGAACAGATCATCTTGACAATAGATGTTTAAAAGTAAGTCATGTATAGGAGCAAAGTCCTAAAACCTCTCTATAAGACACCCGCCAATGCCACTGATGACAAAGAAAGCAGAAAACAACAGAAGGAATTTTAAGATAAAGGACCAAAACCAGCGTAATCCGGGGAGAGGAGCAGGTGAGATTCCCTGGTAGAACTAGGTTCTGTGTGAACAGAAGTACTTCTAGAGGGAGCAGTCCCAACCGGTGCAGCCATCAAACTCGCTCTGTAAGTGAAAACCAGGACACCAGCAATCAGTTCTCCCCTTCATCACTGGTCAACTGCATGGTCTCAGTTATTAAATATTCTGTATTTGTTTCCCTGGCTATGCAATGAGAGCAGTTAGTACACACCGTCCGCTTGTCTACGCAAATCTAAGAACTGGAAAGCTGTGACGGTCCTGCCACTCGCAACGCAACGGATGATACAGTTTAAAGAGCCCATCCACTGCCCTTTTGTAAGCAGCTGCTGCCCGGCCTCTTTCAGCTGTTTGCTATACTGCAGGCAGGCTTGCCGCCTCCATGGAGAGGAGAGAGAAGGGCTTGCCTGTCGCATCTCACTGTTGGCCCTTACGGGCAACCTCTGCTTCAGGGCCCCCCGTTTCTTAGAACTGTTTCTGTTATCAGATTACCACCAAATACACGGCGGTATTGGTATCCCCCAGCAAATGTTACGTCTAATGAAAACATCACCGAAGGGTATTAAAAGGTAAGCCTGCCAGTGTCACATTTCCTCTAGAGTCTTATTCTGGGTCATTTACATAACTGCTACAGAATATTCAACATGCATCTTTAAATGTCACCATTTGCAGGGATTATTTGTATATTGCTCTTAATTAACTTTTACTTCAAAACCTAGTTGGCCAGAATACATTTTTTTTAGTACATTGAATCTCCTGGTCTCATTAGGCTCCCAGCTTGCTTTCCCCTAGATCAAAAGCAGGAAGAGGGGACTTGAAGAGGATTACCATACTAAATAAAATACACTTCTTCCCTGACTCCTCATTCTGTGTGTGCTGGGGGGAGGCGGGGGGGGGTGTCTAGCTCATACTGTAGAAGTAATGAATGCACAAAGTGTCTATTCTACAAATGATAATATACTCGGGGTACCGAGGTCACTTACATGTGAAGCCAACAACTGTGCTATTTAAAAACCGAACCCAGTTTCCTACTTACTTTGTACCCAGAGAATACAGACCAAATAACGACTATACTTTGACTCTCTCAAAAATTGCTGTATCAAAAAAAAAAGAAATGCTCTCCAAACATCTGCTTATAAAATTTGTCTTGCTCTTATTTTAAAGTGATAGAATTTACAAGCTAGCATTTATAGTAATAGATAAGACAGGCATGAGACTTCATGCCCTTAAGAAAATTAAATATGGGTGAAACACAGCAGCTAGAGAAACTTTATATATCTCATTCATTTTTATTTTTCCTTTATTTTTTATTTTATGTTTTTTTTTTGCCTGCTTGTATGTCTGTATACCATGTATGCAGTGCCCAGGAAGGCCAGAGGAGGGCATCGGGTCCCCTGAGATGAGTAACAGATGGTTGTGAGCCACCATGTGGGTGCTAGGAATCAAACTCAGGTCTTCTGGAAGAGCAGCCCTTGCCAGTGCCCTTAACCACTGAGCCATCTCTCCAGTCCCTTGTAGGTCATACATATTTGAAAAAAACTTTCAAACAATACTAAAGAATACAGCATAACAAAAGCATCTTATTTCCTAATGGCTCTTCAACTCACTCACACTCCTTGTTCATGGATATCCACTGGTCAGGATTTGGTATGCCAGCATTCTTAAAACATTTAGTGTCAGACACATACACCCATATGTATAAAAAATAAAACCAATTAAATTATATATGTGTGGGTGCACACATTCATGTCTTCATTTAATTTGGTCCTTTAGATGAATAGATTTTTAATTTCTCCCAAACACCACTAGACACATATTTAAATGTGTGTAGAGTACATATGCCTCGAGGTGAGATCACTTCTTCCAAAGGTAACACATCCTTAGTTTAGAATCTATGACCACATTTGCTTCTGAAAATAACTAAGAAAGTTAAACTCTCGCTCTGTGTTAACAAGGGGTAGTCCCCTAAACATCCACAGTGAACACCATGTCACCCCTTATCCTAAACAATGGGTAGTCCCCTAAACATCCACACTGAACACCATGTCACCCCCTACCCTCTACAATTATGAATGCGGTCTTCAGTCTATGACATTGGCAAAACACAGCGTGGGTTAATACATGCGCTTTATGAAAATAACCTTTAAATTAAATATATACAACCAGGAAAAGAATAGTATTTTAATCAAAATGTGATAATATACACAATCATGGTTGCCTTGAAAATATCCTTAGGGAAGTTGTAGAGTGACTAGTCTGTAATTTTTAAAGAATATTCATGTGCCATCAGGCTACAAGCACTAGCAAGCCACACTTGCTTCCGAAATATTCTAGAGTTCAACTTGTAAGCGCGAGGGAAAGTGGGAGGTGAGTCTGGAGACAGTTGAGAATTTAAGAGCCTCCAATAGCACACACCTGACATCACAGATTTTTGAAACAATATACATCGTAACAAGCTTTTTCTTATTTTGGATGTAGTTCCAGATAAGAATGTAAGCTATTTCATTACTGTACTAGTTCACATTGTAGCCATCGGTGTCACTAAACATGCGGTTTGAACGGAGACACAGAAACAGGTATCTAACCCTCTCTACAGTAACTATTAAAGATAATAATAATTTAGCCAAGCTCTACAATAACTATTTATAAAGCAAAAATTGTAACATTTGAGCAAATGGAAATGGCATTATGGCCAAGATAATGAAAAGATTAAATCTGTATCATCTTAATAGATATAGAAAAAGCAATTGTCTTATTCTGTGTTCAGTTACTGAGAAGAAACACCATGATCAAGGTTGCTCTTATAAAAAAAAGCACTTAATTGAGGCCAGCTTACGGTTTCAGAGGCTTAGTTCATTATCATCATGGCAGGGAGCACGACAACACATAGGTGGATATGGTGCTGGAGAAATAGCTGAAAGTTTGACATCCTGATTTGCAGGCAGCAGGGAGAGAAAGAAACTGGGCTGGTGTGGGCTTTTGAAACCTCAAAGCCCACCCCCAGAGACGTACTTCCTCCAAGGAGGTCATGCCTTTTAATCCTTCTAATTCTATCAAAGAGTTCAACTCCCTGGCAAACTAAGCATTTAAATCTATGAGCCTATGGGGCTATACTTACTTAAACCATCACAGCCATCCACAAAATTCAACTTCTTTTCCTGATGAAGCATTCTCAATCTGATTTTTCATATTTATCTCCCGTAGCTACTGGAGAGATAGCTTAAATGGAATAAAATACAAATCAATAGTTTCAGAGTAATCACTGATTTTAGCCAGGCTATTTGTTAGATAAACTATTTGTTAGAAAAGATTTTTTAAAAAGAAAAAAACTCACAGTGTTTAAAATTAATTTATTTATCTTAAATTCCAACTGCAGTTTCCCCTTCCTCCTCTCCTCCCATCCCCTTCCCCAACCTCACTCCTCCCAATCCATTCCCCCTCTGTTTCTGTTCAGAAAGGGGCAGACCTCCCATGGGTATCAACGAAGTATGACATATCAAGTTGCAGTAAGACTAAGCACCTCCCCTTGTATTAAGGCTGAGCAAGGCAACCCAGTATGAAGAATAGTTTCCCAAAGTCAATCCAAGGGTTAGGGAGGCCCTGCTCCTACTGCTAGGAGTCCCATAAGTAGACCAAGCCATACAACTGACACATAGATGCAGAATGCCTAGGTCAGTCCCAAGCAGGCTCCCTGGTTGTCAGTCAGACTCTGAGAGCTCTTATGAGCCCAAGTTTGTTGCTCCTATGGGTTTTCTTGTGGTGTCCTTGACCTCTCTGGCTTATACAATCCTTCCTCCCCTTCTTCTGCAGGATTCCCTGAACTTGGCCTATTGTTTGGCTGTGGGTCTCTGAATCTGTTTTCATCCATTACTGAATGAAGGCTCCCTGATGACAATTGGGGTAGTCACCAACCTATAAGTACAGTACAAAATCATTAGGCATCATTGCACTGACATTTGATTCCTGGTGTTTGCTCCTATCCTAGGTCTCTTTCAGTCACCACTTTCAGTATTCGCCCTCTCTATCTACCCCTCAACAAGATCCCTCCTATTCACATCCTCACCACCCCAGTCAACCCTCAAGATCTTTTCTATTCCCCCTTCCCAGGGAGACCAACATGCGCCCCCTTAGGCCCTCCTTGTTACCCAACCTCTCTGCGTCTGTAGATTGTAGCATGGTTGTCCTTTATGTTACAGCTAATATACCATGGATTATCTCACTCAAGATAACTTTTTTCTAGCTCCATCCATTTGCCTCCAAATTCCATGATGTATTGTTTTTAATAGCTAAGTAATACTCCATTGTATAAATGTACCATATTTTCTTTATCCATTTTTTGGTTAAGTGAAATCTAGGTTGTTTCCAGGTTCTGGCTATTACGAATAAAGCTGCTCTGAACATAGGTGAGCAAGCATCCTTGTGGTATGATTGAGCATCCTTTAGGTATATGTCCAGAAGTGGTATTTCTGGGTCTTGAGTTAGATCAAGTCCCAATTTTCCGAGAAACCACCATATTAATTTCCAAAGTGGCTTTGCAAGATTGCACTCTGACCAGCAATGCATGAGTGTTCCCCTTACTCTACATCCTCTCCAGCATAAATTGCCATTTATGTTATGGACCTTAGCCGTTCTGACAGGTTTAAGATGGAATCTCAAAGTCATTTTGATTTGCATTTCCCTGAAGGCTAAGGATGTTGAACATTTCTTTAAGTGTTTCTTGGCCATTGAAATTATTCTATTGAGAATTCTCTGCTTAAATCTGTACCCCATTTTTAACTGGATCATTTAGTTTTTTGATGTATGGTTTCTTGAGTTCTTTCTTTATCTTGAAAAACAGCTCTCTGTCAGATATGGCATTGGTGAAGATCTTTTCCCATTCTGTAGGATGCCGTTTTTATCCTATTGATAGTGTCCTTTGCCTTACAGAAGCATTTTGGTTTCATGAGGTTCCATTTATTAATTATCAATATTAGTGTGTGTGCTACTGCTTAAGCAATGTTATCAACGTGTGTATATATGTGTGTGTTTATATATATGTACATATATATGTATATATGTGTGTATGCATGTTTGAACTGAGTAGTTGATATGTATGTATAAACTATTTGTCATATGCATATATAAGTAACACATGGAATATAAAAAGTAAATGCTCATCCATTCCCTTGATCAAGGAAAAAGATGGCCTAGGGGCTCTACCAGCCTTACAGAGAGAGTTTTGTATGATGGCCATGGTCTCATCAGATTCTTCTAGACTGATGCCAATTCACAGAATTTATGACCAAATGCCATGACCTGATTCCTGAGCCATTGGACCACTTTCTGAGTCTAAACCTGTTGAAGCAGCTCTACACAGACAGTGCTCACTCGCTTATAAACATTCTCCCTTGAGAAACTGTCAAGAGCTTGGTTAACATGACTTTTTCCCCCAAGAAACTGAACCACAATCAGTGCACTAACCAAGCCCTGGGAATGAATCAGACCTTAATACACATATATACAACATTTGATTTTTGTGGGGAATGGATTTAAACCTTTTTTAAAGTTTTTACCATAAGAGTGTTTCTCCAACTTATTAAGATCTTAGTGAGCATCCTCTAAAGAGAACATTCTAATCAAATTTCATTTCCTTGACTGTTTTGTATCTAATTACTTGTTTTGTTGAAGTTTTAGACACTATCTTTTAGGGTACTTAATTGGAAAATTCAAAAAAAATAGAATAATCATCCTTGCTTCAAAGAAGGTTTAAAAGAGCATAGAGTCATTTATCTGTGATACGGATCAAAAATTATTAGAAACAGGCAGTTGAAAAGATGCAAAACAAAAGCAATTTTTAGAGTCTCCTGATGTAGGTCTCTTTATAATGTTAAAACAATATAATTACAAACACGTATTTCAAATTAATGTTTAATAATTTTTAAAACTCGTATCTATGTTTCTACAATAGCAAGTAGGAAAAGCTGATTATAGCCAAGATTGCAAAAATAATTCAGAATTTATTTCACAGATCCCAAATCAGATGTTTGTAGCACGATTAAAAACCCAGAGACAGACATTGGGGTTCAACCTGAAGGTCAGAACCAGCCACTGGCTCTTACCTCTACCTCAGCCCGAAATGGCGATCCTGCCTCCAGGAATCTCAGAATGAGACTGAGACTGAGAGCTGTCTCCTCCCATCTTATACTCCTCTCTAGGACTGGGATTAAAGGTGTGCACCACTACCACCTGGTTTCTATGGCAAATTAGTGTGGTTACTGGGACTAAAGGTGTGTGTCACCACTGCCTGGTCTGTAAGGCTGCCAGTGGGCCTGTTTTACTCTCTGATCTTCAGGAAGGTTTTATTTATTAAAATACAAAAATGAAACACCTCGATTCAACAAATGGTTCGATTCAATCTGATGCTGGAAGCCCTGAGGTTCCTGGAAAGCCAACAGTATCTCTTCCACAATGAAAGCTTGGAAATGCTGGTTCTACGATCAGTGAAGGACTCAGCTCCAGCAACAGCAGGTGAATCAACTCCAATGGTAAGAGAAAGCCAAACAAGCAAAAGGTGAGATAACCTTCCCTCTGAAATACACTTTGTTTTTAGATTGATACCTGAAGGTGTTGCCCACAATTGGGGTGGGTCTTCCCAAATACATCCAAGCAGTCAGGACAGCTCTCCAGGTACATCACCCTACTCAGGTGCTCCTAACGTGTGGCACATTGCCGTTGGAACAACCATAATAAAAAATATAGGTAGAACTCAGTGGTTACTGAAGTCCTTCCATCAAGGACCACTTCACTGGTGTACATCAACTCTTGAGTGGGGGTTTTGGGGAGACAGCTCAGTGTTTAGAGGGCTTGTGGCACAAATATGAGGACAAGAGTTCAGATCCCCAAGTCCCACACAAATGCTGTAATCCCAGACATGGAAAGCAGAGGCCAGGGATCCCGGTAGAAGTTGGCTAGCTAGACTAACCACATCCACAGCTCTGGATTTGATTAGAAGATCCTGTCTCATTGAATAAAGAGTAAATCTTATCAGGGATGATTGCTGACGTCAAGGTTCCTCATGCATTTGTAATGCTTACACACACCACAAACATACACACAACACACATACATACACACACATAAAAAGCACACACATACATATGCACACAACACATACATGCACACACCACACACATACACAAACATATACATATACACCACACACATACATACACATGAAAAGCACACACATACACATGCACACAACATATACATGCACATACCACACACGTATACAAACATACACACACACAAATACACACACATGCAAACACACACATACACATATGCACACACCACACACATATATTCAAGCATACACATACACTCACAAATACCACACACATGCAATCACACACACACATATATCACACACATACATACACATGCAAACACACAAATACACACACCACACACATACACCACACATACAAATACACATACATACATACATACATACATGAAACTAGATTTTAAAAAATAAAATACTTGCATGAGCTAAATCCATGAATAATTGATGTCACTAATTAATTAAATGATAATGAAGCAACTTCTATAGAGGAAAAGTAAAGGAAAAATTAGCACTGTTGTGTAATACCCCAAGGAGCTTTATTTAACCTTTCACAAAAAAAAAATGTTTTATTCAAAAGTCAAGTGCCATACAGCATTGCAAATGCTAGTGTTAAGAAAAGTCAGCCTGCTGCCCACCTTGGGAAGGGAAGCTGGCTGTAGTGTGTAGTGACAGTCTTCATACAGACATCTTCTCGCCATGCAAACCCCTCCATGCAACTCTAACTTCACATGCTCTCCACAAATCAAGTTCTATAATTCCCCACTGCTGCTCCAAGAAGCAATAGTTTAAACATGAAATCACTAAATGAGACTTATATAATTTAACTGAAAATTTACCTTAAATTGTTTCATATTTTATGTAAAAGTGCATGGTTCCACCCTTAACTTCCACAGGATTTTCTGCAAAGTATTTGATGATACTCATATAAGACAGTATAAAGGGAACTTTGGTTATATTTCCTAACATTTAAAACAGTGACAAATTTGACCAACCAGTGATGTGAGAGTCCCCTCTGTGTGCTGTGATTACCATTAATGAATAAAGAAACTGCCTTGGCCTGTTGATAGGGCAGAACTTAGGTAGGTGGGGAAAACTGGACTGAATGCTGGGACAAAGGAGGCAGAGTGAGTCAGACATCCCGAATCTTTGCCGGTAAGCCACTGCCATGTGGCAATATACAGATTACTAGAAATGGGTTAAATTAATATAAGAGTTAGCCAATAAGAAGCCAGAGCTAATGGGCCAAATAGTGTTTTAATTAATACAATTTCTGTGTGATTATTTTGGTTGTGAGCAGCCTCCTCTTACAAACCAGTATAAACATAGGAGGAAAGAATAGTTGAAGCATACAAAGATTATATACATATGTAGGCAAGACATGTAAATCTTTGAACAAGCAAAGCAATGTGATTTGTCAGTGTAGCAAGATTATAAGTGACTGGATGATTAACTTACTAATGTATTTGTGCATGGTTTTATTGTGAAGTAATACTCATGGGTAAATAAACACGAGGCAGCGGGTAAAGAGAATGTGGTATTCAAGACTATTGAGAAGTACAATGTCTTTTCTTTCTGAATTAAGTGTAGACTCCTACATCTCTGCTGCACAAAGGGATGTTTGCTTGTTTTAACGCATTATGTCTCCTAGAATATTGTGAGTCCCAAAAGTTGGTGTGTTTAAGAGGCAGCGCATGCTTCCTCCTGCCTTTCTTTCCCTCTTCTGTGGCGATGGGAGCCTGGTTCCAGCATTATGATGATAACAACACTAATTTTGCAGCCTCCAGTTCGTGAATGCAAACTTCAGGTGGGAGCATGCCTTCACTGCGTAAACACGAAGTTGTAGGCTTGTCTGTTACCACCGTATATCTTACATTCTATGACCAACGGATATATGATAAAACAAAAGCAATCCAACCAAGAGCATTTGAATAAAGAGAATTCAGGATAGAGGTTACTTTCAAGTCACCAAAAGACATCAAGTCAAAACTGGAACCAAGTCCTCACCCACAATTCTTTTCATTTAAGCCTAATTGGTTTGCTATAAGCATACACGCATATATGTATGTGTGTGTGTGTGTGTGTGTGTGTGTGTGTGTGTGTGTGTATGAATATGTATTCCAGATGAGAAACATGATTTTAAATTTACACTTCTCTGTTTGGAATAAAAGAATGTCATGTGCATAAATGCATTTTTAAACCAGAATACTAGGAAAAACGTCAGTCTTAACCAGAGTGGGTAGTAAACTTCCCTCCCACTAAATAAGTTTCTTAAGTATTCTTAGGAAGAATGGTCTTAATATTTACTCTTTGGAAGGAAGTTCTACTCTGTCATATGACTTAACTGGGCACAATTTTCCTAAGCCTCTTAAACAATAACAATAGAAAATGCTTCATATTTTGAAATGAAAATCCTTTCTAAAAAAAGATTACTTCAATATTCTTTTAAAATTAAAAGAAAAGAAAAATTTTCTGTGTTTAAAATGTGAGAATAAAGTAATTTAGATTCAAGTTTGTCAAAGAATAACATTAAATCCATATTATAGGCCTGAGTTACCAGGAAATATCAGTATTTAGAATAATTTGTGGCTAAGCATGGGTCTATAGAACACACTTCAATCCAGGAACAAGAACATTCATTTATGAAAGTCAAAAGTGCCTTATCCACTATACCTTCCCAGCTCAAACGAGAGAACATGCTTTGAAATTTCCTTACCAATCATTAAGACATTTTCTCAAATTACACATGAAACCAGCAGGGGAATGCAATCCAGTTTGACACACCAGTGTGCCAGATCAAGAGCTGGCACGCCGGGAAATGAAGAGGGAGGGAAGAGGCTAACAGGTCTCCCACGCTGCAAGGTTATTCACATTTAGGTCAAGCCTAAGTCATTGAAAGAAAAAGCAAAGATGAGAAATTAAATAGACATATTAAGCATGGGGAAAATCCTTGCTGGTTGCCTATATTATCTCCTATCTCAAATTTTAATCTCTGAACAGCTATAAAGAATATGAACAGACTGAATTGATTTTACATCCTGTAGTCTAACAAGGCTCTAGGATGCACGGCATGAGGACAACTGTTGACCACTCATAAAAGCGTTTTAAAGACAAAATTACATTCAAACACAGGGGCCCGCCGGGCGATGGTGGCGCACGCCTTTAATCCCAGCACTCGGGAGGCAGAGGCAGGCGGATCTCTGTGAGTTCGAGACCAGCCTGGTCTACAGAGCTAGTTCCAGGACGGGCTCCAAAGCCACAGAGAAACCCTGTCTCGAAAAACCAAAAAAAAAAAAAAACACAGGGGCCCTAGAGGTAGGCAATGTCATCTCAAACATTCACAGCAGCATATTGTGTCAGGTAGGATATCTCTAGAAAATATTTTTCCAATTTGGAGCCAGAGAACATTGTGACTGGATAATTGGCTGTCTTATGCATGCACCGTCGTATATATGTTCTTTACACTGAGAGCAATTTGGAGGAGAAAGTATCCTAGGCAGATGTTTGCCCCAAGAGCACGTGATACCATCCACATTTTCCACAGCTAAACCCTTACAAAATGAGAGTCAGACAGAAGGACCCAAATGTGAAGAGCATTCATTAAAAGACGTAAATAGGAAAAATCTCGCGGTTTTGTTCCAATCTTCTTTATAATGCTGAAAACATGAAAGACCCCTGCCGCACAGACACCAAGATCCTCGGTGCCCAAACACTGTTGGTGACATTTTAAATTCATGTCTGTTTTCATTCTTATAACCATAAACTCCCTGCCAGCCTCAGAAACCAGCCGAGCACAATCTATCAGCCCTGAGGTGAAACATCAGCCCAGAGCTCACTTTGATCTCTTTTCAACACATCAACACAAAAGTACTCATGATATGAGTAATAAAAATGTGGTGGTCAAACGGCAAAGGTGGGGGAGGCTGCCACAGCATGGAGCGCCATCTCTCCTAACACTACTAGCTGTGGTCCAGATTGAGGTCAAATATACCAGCCACACTACTACCCAAACAATCAAGAAGAAATCAGACCTACTACAGAAAAGAGCTGCTAATTGTTTCGTTGATGTCAGTTCTTTGCCAAGCCAAAGCTGGATCTCAACACCATCTCCTGGGAGAGTATTCCTGACCATACGTCTAAAGGCTTTGCCATCCTTTTTATCAGAGTATTAAGTGACATAAATATCAAAAGCTGGTGGACAACAAGGAAGTGACCAGTGAAGAGAATCTAGTTGTCTTTTGCAACAGAGAGGCACTTTCCCTAAGCAGCCAATCATCCGTGATAGCAAAAAGACAGAATCAATGTATACACCAAAATGTGTTCACTTTCTACCTGAATCAAGAAAAGTTAGCATCAGTTCCAGGGATCAAGACATGATGTATTTATTACAGACAAGGGCACATCATTAAAGAGCAACAGGCTTTGAGAAGCCACCTAAAGGGCATCCAGAAGTCTGCGGACTGTGGAGGCCTGGCGTCCTTATTTCTGTGTGGCCCAACACGTGCTGACCAGGTCCCAGTGACTACAGCACAGTTCAAAGTTTGGAGGACGCTGTAGACGGGCAGAGATGGGCTAGGGACCCTGGTCTTTGTTAACGTTTATTTCATTAGTGCTAATTGCCTCATTATTATAAACATTATTATATTCATATTTGTTTCATCTCAAGCTAATTTAATTGATAGAATTCTGTGTCCTTGCTATTATCTGATACAATTAGCTCTCATTAGTTCGCATTTCACTCATTTCCCCCCCGTCTGATTGCACTACACACTGACGCGCACTAATAGCAATATGTAATGCAATCAGTCAGAAGGGGAACGCGGGTACAGTAGATCTGCACCACCACGCTCATCACTCTGATTGTCTGCAAAGCACCAATGCTCTTCCTACGGCTTCTGTAAATTTTAATACTGCGAAATTTGGCGTTAATAATAAAAACCTTCCTACACTTTTTGACGCATTGATTAATCATCATTTAAGTCATTAGTAGAACAGATTATTAATAGATTTTGAAAGACAAACTGTCATTTGCTCCTGCAGCCTTTAAATCAGAAAGAACGAAAACTCTGATTATTTATTTCTTTGGTCTTCGTCGGAACCACGCTTTTCTTTTGCTCTCCGCAGGCTTTCCCTTCTGTTTCTTCATTGTTAGGATCCTTCTGCAACCGTGCAGAGAGCTTCGGGGGAGCAAGAACCCACAGCTGATGCTTTCCCTGGGAGGTCAAGAGGTCCCTCGAATCATGCTACTGTTAATTTGCCGTTTGAGCATCTTCAGCAGGGAGCCTCTAACGACAGCAGCGCAGCTGAGAGGGCTGTTTGGCTATTACGTCAGAAACACGAAGGACTGAAAGGGAAGGAAAGGGCAAAGAGCAGTTTGGTTTGGTTTTTGTTTTTTGCTTTTGTAATCAATTTTATAAAATCCACTGGGTTTTCAATGGGTGAATCTAAGTATGCCTTGCTAGTTTACAAAGACAAAATACTCACGGATTACCCAACGTTCTCCACCTGGACGGCTCAGTGCTATTACTTCAAAGGTGAATTTGTACATACATTTCTAAATAAAACACTTGCTGTCTTTTTTTTTTCTCCTAAGAATTCTACCCCGTGGGTCCCACTAAACGGCAGATCATTCTGAGAGAAATAATGGCACAACAAACTCCACTGTATTATCCCTCCGAGCAGAGCTTTTCAACAATGCACGCATTTAACGGTCTTTCAACTGGTCTTGAACAAGATCATAGGTATAAAACATACACACACACACACACACACACACACACACACACACACACTGAATGGATGCCAGGAAATTTAAAGCAGAAGAAATGGCTTAATGGGCTTGATTTTTGAAAAGTTCAAAACAAAACTCATTTTAAGTAAATAGAAAAGAGAAGACAAATCTCCATTACTTTTGCCAAGCTAAATCCTGCCTTGGATAATGGTAGACGACATTTAAAAACCAGAGTTGCTATAATAATCCCCGCTTGAATCATGGTTTCCCTGAACTGGGTTAAGCCTTTAGACAGAAGCTAATTGCTGCAAACACTAATTTCCAAGTCCCTTTTGTTTCCCTTCGCAGGCACCTCTGGACGCAGAAGGTACCCAATTAGCAGAATTCATGGTCCTGATTGTGTATTGTGGGGCTAGCGTGTGAGCTGTATAAACACTGTTGATTACCGTCCCTCTGTAATGGCTGATTTTTTGATTGCTTAATAAGGCCGTCTATTCTGCATCGAGGCCCAGCAAGGCAGTTGGTGAAATCAGTTAGGTCATTTTTTTCTGGTCCGAGGAGCAGGAGGAGTCTGTGATGGTAGCAGTTGACTAAAAACATAATTACAGGCTATTTAATCGCATCTGTTTCCCCACTTAACATTGTTTGTTCAAGTTAGACATAGTTAAGTAAATCAAAAGGACAATAACGGCAAAAATGCTAAAAAATTACTGTTACATGGTTAAAACTCTAGGGCTTGGTATAATTACAGAAAACATAGCATGCAGTGGTTTTTTAAGGTACTAATTTTTATTAGCTTCTATACACACTTTTGCTTATTTGGTTGCTGCTAGTTTTTTTGGTTTGTTTTTTTTTTTTTAAGATTCGGTGTTATGTAAATAGCCATTTATCTGACAGGACTGATTTTGTGTTAAGGGTCCTACAGGGACAATATTGTTTATCACGATGATTTTTATGTGCTCATCCAGTGTTATAATTAGCGGTCAAGTAACGCCTATCCTGTTTTGTGATTAATAACTAATCCTCCAAAACACACCTTCCACTACATAGGATTGTCTCAATGGATGAGTCCAAGTGAGTTTTATGCCCAAGGGCACCGCCATTCACGCTGAGCTGCCCCCATCCTTCCTCTGAGTGCCATACCTGTAATTTATCAATAACACAAAACAGCTCGGCAATCAAAAGGATAAAAACTGAGTGGCACCCAGACAGCCATGGCTGCCAACAGGCATGCAGCCCATGTTCTGAGGCCACTAGGCGGGCCATTCAATCCAGCAAAGAGGACAAACCAGGACTGGGTCAGATGAAAAGAGGGGCAGCTGCTCTTTCAGAAACACACGCCGCTCAGCGTACCACATAGCACGCTTGTAAAAAGGAGTCTCAGCCACACCAGGCAGGCATCTTATTGAGTAGTCCACAGGGCATGTTTTAGAACCGTTGTCTTTTGTTATTTGATGCTACAGAGAAAGTAGCCCGTTGCAACCACCACCAAGACTGAGGAACCACTGCCTATCAGAGAAGGATTAATAACTGAGAGACACTGTCCGCTGTCTAGCTGTCTATAAGGGATTAGACAGAATGACTCTGAGCCTAGAGCCCTTAGGAAAGGAGGTGCATCACCCTCAGATGCAGATGATCTCATCACAGGTGTTTGTGAGGTTGAGCGTCAACCCCAATGCTTACTTCAACCGAGGCAAGTACGATCAATGTTATGAATATGGTACATGAAATAGACCGCCTGCCTCATAGACCTAAATAAACTCAAAACAGCAGAGAAGAGTTTAACCCTGTTGTGGTATGCTGCACCATTTGGAAGCACCGAAGAGAAGAGTTTTTAATTTTGTAAAAGTGTTCTGTGAGGGCAACTGGCACATGATAGTCGCCACCAATAAAAATCTTTCACAGATTGACCAAGTTTCAGCAGGCATACAGCACTCTCCTGAGGCCACCAGCTTCAGCGGCCAGCGTCATTGTTTAGTAGCAAAATAGTTACCCCGGCTCATTACATGTCAGGCGAGGAGCAAGGGAAGCATCCATCCAGACTGGGAGGGTAGAAAGGATCCT